CTCCGACTCAGAACTGCAAATAGAAAAAGTTCCATCTCGTCATTCTCTACAAGCCTATATTAAAAAAAAATTAATTTTGCGACTTTCAAAATTTTTATGCTCTGAGACGTTTAGACAATACTTTTACACGATTTCGAGCGCAGAGCGACTTCTTTGATCCGCGCCCTCAATTTTCGCAATAATTAATAAGAAATTAATTAAAGAAGATCGGTCAATTTGCGCGAGTCCAAGCGCGCAACGAGAAAAGCCCACTGTTACATGGTCGCTAGGACGCAAGGATCTAGCGTTACGCACCGCTCTTATGTTGCCGTTGTCATTTGTAGAGCGCGCTTCCCAACGCTTTATCGCGCGCTTAGTACTTAACCAAATAACAATGGGTTGTATCGCCACGGGTCTCTTCTCACCGCGCTCTTAAATACGCGCGAATTGGCCGATATTTTTAAATTAATTCCTTATTCATTATTGTGAAAATTGCAAAATGGTAGAGGACTTTTCTACTCGGTTTAACCCGCTCTATCTACACCCGAGAGGTGATTCAGCAATTACCGGACACCTATATATATGTGTGTGTGTGTGTGTGTGTGTGTGTGTACATGGAAACTGGAACTACACATTTTCAAAATCAATTATGAAGAATGACATTTTGATGCTGCGAATAAAACTCGCGTTAATTCTCACGTGCATTGCCGCTTTAATTAACCAATTAAAATTAAATTGTCAATCTGTTGTGTTTTCTTACAGGACTCTCCCGATGTTCCAGATTTAATACGCTTAGATTCGACGAATAGCAGTGACGATTTTGATCCACTTCTATCTAAATCTTCCGAAATTTCCAACATAAAGCAAATGAGCCAATCGTTACATTTACCTGAAATGGGCGAAGGCCTCAGTAATCCGTTATACCCTTATTTCCAACAACCGTTGCACAAAACTAATGAAAAGCCGAAGACTTCCGATAACATGGGTGACATGGATTTGTTACAGGCGTACGGTATAGATTTTAATAAATTTAGCTTAGCTAACGGTGATAGCTCAACTACACAGAATAGTGCTGCGCGTAACAGAAGTGTACCGGATAACAGTATTAGTAACGATACGATGGATGCATTCAGTTTAACACTGAATGCACCTACCATTAAATCACAAAATAATTGGACGAAGTTTGAGTAAATATTTAGTATACATATCACAATTGTAAATAATATCATTAGTATTAGTCATTTTTGTTATATATTTAAAAATATATCCACCATGAAATATTCGCATTAACACATTCCCTTACAAGATCATCTTGGGAATCAGCCAATAATTGTCTTACTATGCACATAGTCATGCGCCAAAACGCCCCTTCGCGTCGTAAACAGAGTACTTTTATATTTCTTCCGAATATTTTTTTTGTATTCTAAAGGCCAATAATATTTGCTACACACATAATACATTTCTCTTATTTTCCATCGAACAGTTTTCCAGCGTGTCATTCATTATCAAAACAATTCGCGTGATCCAAGAATATTATTGCGTAAATTCAATTTATAAACAGTAGCGAAAGGATAAGATTCCGGGAAATCAATTTTGACAATTAAAACATCTCGATATAATATATTTTAATGTCGGATGATATATATAATTAAGCCGGCAAAAACACACTGTAATTACAAAAAAATAACAGTACTGTATTGCGTAATACTGTTACATTCTCTTACAAACTTTGAGGTAAATTATTATTATAATTTTGCATCATCATCTTCTTTACTTTCCTCGAAATTTTCACTAAATGCTCAATTACGTGAGAGTACTGTTTTATAAATATTCGTAGATATTAAATATCTATTTAAAAAAAATAAGTATATGTATATATATGTCGCATACGCAAGAAAAGTAAACACAAGTTGAAATTTTTCGAATTTCGTTTTATGTGCGGATTGTGTTCTAAATACATCGATCTTCAGAAAAAATGATAGAAGTTGAATTCAATACTTTCCGCGTGAGTCCGCAATGTTTAAACTGTCGTAAATAATTAATTTTAAAATTATTGTTTAACCAAGAATAGACATGTGAAATTATTTTGTTTAAAATCAAGCTTGCTCAGCATTTATAATTTATAATTTGCAACACAATTTTAGATAAAAACCAATTCAATTAATATTATTAATAGGAAACACTATTATTAACCTAACCTAACCTAACGCAATTCCTTCTTTTCCCTCCTGTAATTTTTTTTTTTTTTACTTTTTCTTGTTGGTGTGTGATATATAAACTACAACAAGAACGACTGCAAATAGTGAAGGAAAGTAAATGAAACGAATGTACCGTACGAACTTCACAATTTAGATTACTGTTAGACATTGATTATATCAATTTTAATAATTGTTGCACATTTATTGGCAATGCTTTATAATAAATTAATGCAAAAAAGTAAGATGTCATTTTTACAACTTATCATATCCATTACTATCCCACTATCGTATCCTATGTGCAACGTTTAACTGGTAATGAAAATGTTGCTCTAAAATACATAATTCATGCGTCGCATTTCGTATACTTAAATTAATTTAAATTATATTTTTTATAACATTTTACAATACTCTGTGTATACAGGGCCGCATTTATACTTTTTGAGGCCTCATAACATGATTATGAGGCCTCAAGTCTATTTTAGTTAATCAAATTCATACGCATTTTTTTTTAAGTGTTTATTAAAAATAAAAGTCGACATGCATTACATGATGTAAAAAGGCAAAATTTAATAAACAATTACCGCTTACAAATTTTTCAGCGGCCTCTAGTTTTTATATTATGAATTTAATATTTAAAAGTATTTTATTTTGCAACTATAACTAGGATGTTTTTAATTTTGTCATTTGTGAGGAGTAATATTTTAAAATGTGGCCCCAGCTTGCGCCTAATGCGCCTTATGGTAAATGCGGCCGTGTGTGTATAGTAATAGTTTTTCAAATGATTTTTTAACCTATTGCGTTGGAATTCAATTAGAAATCGTGTGAGGTGTATGTGTCGATTTAGGTGAACGCTCAGAAAGAACGAAAATATGTAGGAATTCTATTCTCTTGAGCCATATGCGAATGAAGAGATCTTTATTCTAATAATATTAACATTTTACGAACAGAATTATGATAAAAAAAAACAAAGTTAATGATTGAAACATAAAATATACAAAAATATATAAAACTTTTATTTGATATTAAGCATTATTTGCATTCTTTGTAGTTTCACTTTTGTTTTATTTTTATTATACGGCACTCTACGTTATCACCAGAAGCTATTGCTTGGAAGTTTCAAGTAATTGATCAGTTCGAACGCTTTGAGCTCAAGTTATGTCCAAACAGATCGAATTATTCGAATAAGAAAAAAGGAGCATCGAGTTCGGATAGCTTAAACTGCCCGAATATCTCAAAATAGATGACATGATATTGATTTTATTAATTAGTGTAAAGTTGGATGAAAACAAACATTTTCTTTACTGTTTGAAATGTCCGAACTCGATGCTTATTTTTTGTTGGATTGGAATTGATCAAACAATTCAACATATATAAACGTTCGAATTTGAGTCCTAACCATTATATTTGTATCAAAAGAGCAAGTGTGTTGCTAAGACATGCTGGATTTTGGTTTACAAGCAAACGTATAGAAGATTACGTGATTCCAACGCAATGAGTTAACACTATTCTTTCTTCTCTGTGCAGTACTATTTGCTGAATACATTACGAAAGAATTCATCCCTGCTTCATGAAAGCAGTTTTCGATTATTTCGGGACATCCTCGCTCCATATATTTAATTTAAATATAGCTTGAAGAGGATAGTACGAAAATAATTTTTAACTAAATTCCTTTTTCGATTAAATAGTTCAATAAATAAGTTACTTACTATTAAATAGTTCAATAAATAAGTAACTTATATAAAAATAAGTAACTTACATATAATTACGAACAGAAAAAGTTTTAGGATTTACAAATTTGTCTATGGATTTACTTTTTACATTGTTCGTAAGACCACTAGCGCATCGATTATTCGTTGCAATTCGCCTTCGGTGTTCGTCAATTTTTCTTTATTATTCTTTTGAACATCGAAGGGCACTTTCAAGTCATAATCGGGCACAGCTAAATCCTGCTTTAACTTCTGTATAATCTCGTTCAGTTGTCCTTGTTTCTTTTGCAGTTTCTCTAACTCTTTCTTTGGATCAATTAAACCCTGCAAAAATGTATTAATATAATAATTACATATCTGTAATAACGTGATTAATTAGGATATACATAATACACCATTAACCCTCTCAGGAACTTTCTAACAAAGTAATTTATATAAGATCTCGTTTTCTAAAGATTTTCAGAATTACTGAATTTAATTGCGATTGTAGCCTTCTAAAATTCTAAAATTCTAGAATTCTTTCTAAAATTCAAAATGGTAGATCCAATACGGCGGACCAAATTTCAAAAAAATTAGTCCAATTGTGAAATTCAGTTTTAGGTGGTTTTTGAAATCACTGAACTCAAGTATCATCTCCGAACTTCAAAATTTTTTAATTAAAATGATATAAGGCTCATAAGATTTTCAAAATCAAAATTATTAAAAAGGAGCGTAAAGAGCCAAAAAGCAAGTTGATCGTGCAATAATTTATTACTTAATTTACATAATCATAAACGTTTCAGCTTGTCATCAAGCCCTTATCAATATAAATAATAAAATTAACAAAAAGGCGCAACGCATTAATTATAAAGAAGTGAGAACATGTTACAGTTTATCGGAAAAATCCGTAGAACAGCCGTAACGTTCGAAATCAAACGACATTAAGATTGTGGTAAAAACATAGTGTAGGCGAACAGAACAACCCCTCAATAGTAAGATAGAAGAGAAGCACTTAGGTCCAAATTAAGTAATAAATTATTGCACGATCAACTTGCTTTTTGGCTCTTTACGCTCCTTTTTAATAATTTTGATTTTCAAAATTTTAAGTTTATATTGAGCAACTAACTTCAAAACCCAATACAAAGTTTCAAGATAATTCAATTATTTTTTTAAAATTTGGTCCATCATATTGAATCTTTCATTTTGAATTTCAAAATTCTAAGGTTTCACTCGAATTTAGCAATCTTAAAAACCTCCAAAATTGAGTTTCAAAATAATCCAATTATTTTTATTTAAATTTGGTCATCTTTTCCATCATTATAAATTTTGTATTTTTGATTTCAGATTTGAATAAAACCGATTCGATAAATACCTCAATTTCATGAAAATCGAGTGAGCAGTTTCAAAAATAAAAATAGCGTCCTCTCTACAGAAAGGATTAATTACCTTGAGTAAGAGATGTACTTGAATTTTATCGGTTACGGTGATGATAGCACATCCTATTGGTGGCTTTTCCATGCTAAGAGTCGAATACGCCAGAGTCTCTATGAGCAATTTATATTGCATAATCTTGTCCTTCAGAGCTGGATCGTTACACGTGACAAATGCTTCGGTTTTCGTTTTATTAGGTAAATTATAAGTCGCGCGGGCAGATCTAATGTTTTTAATTACTTTTTGCACAAAATCAATGTCTTTTTCGATCTTTTGATTCCTCCAGTGACACTGAAATACATCAGACGTGATTACGCGATTACAAAAATAATATTTTAACTAAAATTAATATTACAAATAAGACAATCACCTCAGCACCGTTCGGATATGGACTTACACAAATACTTGCATATGTTTGTGTTTCACGAGGTAAACGTTGATACAGCTCTTCCGTTATAAACGGCATAAATGGACTCAATAAACGTAATCCTACGTCCACTGTTTTAAATAATACTTTTTGCGCTGTTACTTTAGCCGCAATATCTTCACTTTGAAATATCGGTTTAAGATACTCCTAAAAACAAAAGTTGTTTCTCCCATACAAAAGTTTCTTTCCCTCTTTCATAATAAACGTATTAAGTGTCTACTAACCAGATAAATATCGCACAGATCGTACAACCATAAATTGTAACAGGTGGAAGTGGCTAACGCAAAGTCATATTGCGCTATCGCTTCGTCACAAGTCCTGGCAGCGTAACTGAGACGCGACAGCATCCATAAATCTACATCGGTTTCATTCCCAACTAACTATAATAAAGAATATGTATTAGTAAAAAAATAAAAATTATTTCCATCATTTAAAAAATGATTGTTACCTCAAACGCATCGTAATTGTTTATTTGATACTTGTACGTGAGTTGCGGTATAATTTTATTTTGTTCCGCACGAAGAACAGCTTTTTCTTCATCCGTAAATGTTGCCATATGATTGTACCAACGTTTGAGATGCAGATGATTTGTGAAATCAATATTTAATTCTTTCATCGATTGGTAAACTTTCGAGTCCAGTTGCGAAGGTGTATAACCCTCGAGGTACGAATAATCTGCTAAATAATTATTTAGCGCCTCCTGTACACATGATTCATTCAGAGCCCATTGGTACCACTTATCGTCTCCAGCCATGTCGATGTAATTGGCACTATTATGTTTCTAACATGAAAAATTCAAGTAAATATCTTTTACGTTATAATATAATTAATTCTCTGAAAATAAACTAATTTACAAAATTTACCCTGTTATTTGTGTCATTTGTGTCATATCTAAACTCCGATTGGAGATAGGTAAGTGCAAATTTGATGGCGTTCCATATTTTGTTGCAGAAAAATCTATACCCTTGTACACGGAGTATATCGAGATTTATATCCCGTCCTTGAGTGGTATAAGCACAAAGAGCAAATCGCAAAGCATCTGTACCACATTCAGGAATACCTTGCGGATAATCGCGTTTCTGACCTTCCCGAGCTCGTTCCAACTCTTTCGGGTCTAAGTTCGAATCTAGCAATTGTTTTTGAAGATCCTGAAAGAAAAAAAATCATTTTGAAATAATTTAAAATGTTACAAGGCATATAAAAAAATAGAATTATTTATACACACTTCTAATGATATTCCTTTAATCACATCCATAGGATCTATTACATTTCCCAAGGATTTGCTCATTTTTCTTCCATGTGCGTCTCTCACCATCGCATGCAGGTACACTTCTCTGTAAAAAAGAAATAATTTATTGTAAAAGAGTGAAAACATATTTCACTCTTTTTGTAGATAAAAAATTTTTATAAAATAGTTTAATAATTTTTATAGTATGTAAAATATGCTATATTTATAACGTACTTGAAAGGCAATTGTCCCAACAGTTTTTGGCCCATAAAAACCATCCTAGCCACCCAGAAAAAGAGTATATCATGACCAGTTTCTAGCAGTGTACTTGGATAAAATGCCTTAAGCTCAGGAGTCTAAAAACGCATACTGGTATTAAAATTATATTCTTTACTTTCAACATTACAAACTAATTAATGGTTTTGTTTCTTAAAGAAGAGTTTTAGTATACATACTTCATCTGGCCAACCAAAAATGGAGAATGGGAAAAGAGCAGAAGAGAACCAAGTGTCTAATACATCAGGATCTTGTTCCGCTATAATGTCGTTTATATCAATACCTAATTTCTTAGCTGCTTTTTCTCTGGCTTCAGCCTCAGAATGCGCACTTACCCAATATTCATCTGTCTATATGAGATTATTAATTAATTTATATGAATGCTTATTAATTAATTTATATATGAATTTACCTGAACTAAAAGTTCAATATCAATTAAGATTTAGCACTTCAAAACGTCTCATCATTTACAATTCTTGTAAATTACCTTGTTTGCGTTCATGTGAGAATTAATACACCTAATTGCATAAGCAGGAATGCGATGTCCCCACCAGAGCTGACGTGAAATACACCAGTCTCTGATACCATCCATCCAGATATACCAAGTTTTCTTAAACTGCTCTGGAATTATTTTCAGTGCACCTGAGTTCACTGCTTCTCTAGCTTGCGCAGCCATTTCGTCACACTTGACATACCTAAATACAGAAAGAAAAAAATCAGATGTACTTTTAAAAAATTAGTAAACACAACACATAGTATATTACAACATATGTTAACATATCACTCACCATTGTGGTTTCATAAGAGGTTCAACGACATCTTTCGATCGGCTACAAATGGGTATTACCATTGGATTATCTTTTATTGCGATCAACAGATTTCTCTCTGTCAGTTCCTTAATAATAGCCACTCTGGCTTCGAATCTTTTCATTCCCTGTAAATTTTATATTTAATTTATATACATTTATTTTTCAGTATGCACATGATAAAATCTGGAAATTCGAGATTTTCCATATATGTCGGTGATTATAAAAGAGGTAAGTCATATATCTTTTGTTTTCAGATATTTCAACTTTTGCGTTTATAAAATATTTTTTTATTATGTAAAATATTTTTTAAAACATTTACTCTTATAATGGCAACCTTCTTCATAATTGTGACATTTTACTAAGTAGCTTATGAAAAATATATTTTTTAGTATCTCAAATGACTTAGATCATTTTCAAAATTAATAATAAATCTTGAAAATAACTTGCGACAAAAAATATTGAATTTTATTAAAAAACAAGCTAAAAACAAACATATCAGTTTGCACTTTATAATTATAATTTTATTTAATTAATTTTCACTAATATTCTAGTTTTCTTCTTTGATAGTAGAATTTCCAATATCTAAAGTTTCAAGAGCTTTAAAATATATTTATAATATTATTTTATATTATTATATAAATTTATTTATTTGAACCTCTATTTGATGCAATAAGTGCTTTCTTGTTCATAAAGAAAATTTAACAGAGAGCAAGTGACTTAGATCACTGTCAAATATGAACTGAATTCTATTTAATGATACAATTACCAATGCCATTAAGTGATTTAATTTTAAATCATTTTTCATAAATGGCTCCATATTATTATGACGTAGATGTTATACAAAGTGATAAATTTAATTTTTTAAGACGTTTGAATTAATCCATTTTTAAAATTACTAACACGTTTTATACATAAAAAAAAATATGTAAATTATGTACCGTAAATTTTTCATAATTCCCAATAATATTGCCATCATCGTCAAAAATATTTATAAATGGTAGATTGTGCCTTTTGCCCACTTCATAATCATTTGGATCGTGAGCTGGTGTAATTTTTACAGCACCTAAAGAATAGGCCGGTTACTTTCGCAATTGTCCTACTTTTCATACTTTCACTGATTTAATGAATACTACACTATTTACCAGTGCCAAACTCTATGTCGACAAATTCGTCTGCTACAACGGGTATAAGTCTATTGCAAAATGGATGCTGCACGTATTTTCCGATGTACTGCTTGTATCTGCTATCACTTGGATGTACTGCAACAGCGGTATCTCCTAGCATAGTTTCAATGCGTGTAGTCGCTACAATTATTTTATCTTCTGAATCAATAACTTGATAGGCAAAAGATACCAGAACACCAAATTCTACTTTGTTCTCATAACCAGGTATAGAAAGTAGGATCCGACCGCTTAATTCCATTTTGTCAACCTATTTTTAATAAAAATATTTTTAATTAAGTCTCATATTGCGCATTGTAGACATCACTTTTGTTCAGAAAATATCTACATAGTAGTCACCTCAATATCCGATATCGCACTCTTTAAAGCGCATGACCAATTAACTAAACGATTGCTGCGATAAATAATACCTTCGTCGTGCAAACGCACAAACGCTTCTGTCACAGCTCTACATAATTTAGGATCCATTGTAAAACAGGCACGGCTCCAGTCAAAGGAACCACCTATTTTTCTTAATTGCAAATAAATTCTATCACCCTTTCTAAAAAAATATTTAAAAATATCATATATATATAATTAAATACTATTTATTACTATTAAATACTAAATTACTATTATATTAAATCTATCTATATTTTTCATAATTATATAAATTAAAAGCAATCACAATGTTTATATTTACTCTTGCTTCCATTGCCATATTCTTTTGATAAATTCTTCTCTACCAATATCATGACGAGATTTTTTTTCTTCTTTCCAAAGTTTTTTCTCTACAACCACTTGAGTGGCAATACCTGCATGATCACAGCCTGGATTCCAAAGTGTCATACGACCTTTCATGCGATTCCTAAGTAAATTACAATCAAAATGTGAAAAATATAGCAAATCTAAGTTTTATAAAAAATTTCCCTCACTTATAAAAATATTTTTAAACTAAATCATAAATTTGTGTAATATTTACCATCTAGTAATAGCATCTTCCACAGCATTAGTCAAAGCATGCCCAAGATGCAAATGACCAGTTACATTAGGTGGTGGTATTACCATTATAAACTTTCCTTTCGGATTTTCCTCCAAAATATCTTTCCTCTAAAATAACATTTCAATATACAGCAAAATATATTTTAATATTACATATGTTTATTTAACTTTTTTAAAATTTCCTATTTACGTACTCCATATTCTGGTTTAAAAAAACCTTCTTTTTCCCACCAAGCATACCATGCAGCTTCTATATACTGCGGATTATACGTATTTGGCATTGGACATGTAACATCTTTCTTATCCCCAGGTGCTGTATTAATAATATACAAGTTTGATGCAGTCTCCTTCTTCTTATCATTTTTCTAAAATATTAGATTAATGAATGTTAGATTAATTAGAAAAATCAGATAACAAATAAGTTAGATCATAATATAGTGAGCCTATAAAATGCAATTATATTTTCTCTATCAGTATTACAAAGTATTAGCTGACAATCCTGAATTTGTTTACAAATACTTGTAATCAACAAAAGTACATAAAAATATTTATTACATAATATACTATTCTTTTCAAATATTGTATTGTATTGTATTCAAACATTATAATGCAGGTATTAGAATAATCTAAGATAAGAAACATGATCAATTAAAGAAAATCAAATCTATGAAAACTGTCTGTTGAAAATGAATGTTGATTAGGCTCCATATGGATAATAAAGATATGAACATTTGCTGTGCTACTGTAGAGCCAAAAAATCTGTTAATATAAACTCACTTCTGGTTTTTCTTTCACATTCGCCGGTTTTTCAGTTTCTTTTTTTTCCTGCTTTTGTTTAAATTTTTCCAACTTGGCCAATTTCTTAGCCTCCTTTTGTAGTTGCTTAGCCGTTTTCTGAGGGCCATTTTCCGCAATCACAGTCTCGTCACTATTTACACCAACCATTTTCTTTCTTTGTTTTCTTACAAAAAGAGATCACTTATCTATCCTGTTTTACACTCGAATGACAAACCGGCTTACGAAAGAGATTCAAAGATTGCAAAGCTAACCACGTTGTGTCAGCGCATAATTTTACGCCATAGATCAAAGTGTACCAGTGATGCAAACTCGAGCCGGCAAGCACCAGGGCTCCGTGGTAGCCTACTACTAGTAGGGGAAGCACAAGATCTATACAGTATGTTTTCCAGCAAAGGACACAAGTTGACACCATTGAACTATATACCATACTGGAACGAGCACATGCTACCCCCTCCATTCGACAAAACGGTCAGACAAGGCAGTGACTCGGTACCGGATTTCTCTTTCTATCTCGTCTACTCTCGACTAATAGTAGTTGTGAACACGTGACCAAAACTGTTGGTTAGATAGAGAGATCCGGGTCCGAACAGCTATCTCCATCTGACCGGTCGAGAACAAAGGCGTGCTCGTTCCAGTATGGTATATATTTCAATGGTTGACACAAATCGACACAAGTATCACTCTGTCTTTGTTCGATGTTCAATGAGCAACAGAGAGAATAATACTTTTGTTAAGGCACTAGATATGTAGGTATTCTTATCCGCCATTTTGGTTCCTACTAGATGGAGAATTATAGCGTATATAGTATAGCCAGAGAGAAACCTGAGAGAGGTCACGCTGCCGTTTTCCGTACGACGCTTTCTCTAGGCCGTACGCTAGTGACGCACGTCCATTTCCGGCCGGCTTAGGAACTAAATAGCCACGTCCATTTTCCGCATCGGTCAAAAAGTCACGTCTATTTTCTGAGATGGTTCATGTCCATGTTATATCCACAAGCGAAGCTATTTACGTCACGCGTCCTTGCCGTGCGTTAGACTGTTTGATCAACAGCAGCGTACAACAAAGAATCAAGCGTTTTTTAATCGAGTAAGGCGAATCGCTTGAATATTAAAGATCCCATATTCGAGACCTACTTTTTGCCAACTTTTTTTTCCTTTTTTGCATTTTTTCAACTGTATATAATCAAATTAATAAATTAAAATAAAGTTTAATAATAAAATAATGTTAAAATAATGTTAATATAAAAATAATAAACACATTGGTTTTAAAAAAAAGTATGCAGTTGCATGTTGCAAATTACATATTTATTACTTGAAAGCAACTATAGTGTTTTCTTTATTATCAATTGATTCGTCTCATTATTTATGCATAAAAGTATTAAGGTAAGATTCCCAAAAATTGAATGTTTTACAAGATATTTTGTATTTTATGTCAAAATACTGTAATTTACAAGCCTCATAACTCGAAAAGTTCTTAATGAAAAATAACTTCATTATAGTGTTTTGAAAAGCTCTTGACACCAGCTATTAGATTTTGGAATCAAAAATAGGGGGTTTATTTAAAAAAATAACTCTGACCTTCAAATGACCTTGAAAATTGACTTTAAGGTCAAAGTCACTAACACAAATAGGTGACCCTTATTGTCCTGAACAACTTTTGTCTGAACCATTTTTCTGTATTTGGCTTACTTACGGGATATTTACGTGGATAGATTAAAATGGCCCACCCGGTATATATATATATATCTTTTGTAAATATATAATGTAATAAAAAGTGGTATAATAGGGCTACAGGCGAAGATCCACTTTAAAAAAAATCTAACGCGCTGTTGTGGGTCCAAAGAACCACAACCAATTATTAATAATAAAATATATATATATTAATAAAATATAAGAAAATATCTATTGCATATCAGATTAAGATATCTAATATTCAGTTTCCGGCTCATGCGAGACACCGGATAAAT